GGGTTGTTCTCTTCTCGATTATGACTGTTGAGGTTTTTTTGGTTGGATTAGCTTTTAGATAGGAGAAAGTTGAAAGGAGAGTGATGAGGCTGCTGACTTCTCTCTCTCTCTTTTAATGGTCAGGGTGTACATGCACTTGCCAGAGAGAGAGAGAGAGAGAGAGGATCCTCCTGTGGGGCATGATCACACCATAGTCTTTTAATTTCTCCATTCTGTTTGCTTTGGGGACACACATGCACATTCGCCTAGCATGTTTTTCAAGCTGCTGGGGCTGGGATTTGAACAACACTTGGCTGTGTGGGTTCTGGCTCCCTTTACTTGCAAGGCCAACCCAGTTGCTGAACTTTTTCTATCTTTTGCTTATTTCATTGTGTTCTAGATCTACTCTATCAAATCTTTTCTTTTTGCTAGAGTGATTTTTGGTGCTCTCTATGTGGTAGGGTTTACTCTACAATAGACTGTTTTGCTGCATGGCTCCTACACATAAATGTGCTATTGTGTCAACATCTCATTTCCCTAGGTTTGTACCAGTTGCTCTTTTTCTGTATTCGCCACCTTTTTTTTTTTTTTTTTTTTTTTTTTTTTTTCTACTCTTTCTTTTTTTTTTTTTTTTTTTTTTATCTTTTTCAGCTCTTCATTCTCTTTTTCTACTGTAGACCAGTCTAAGTTTCTGTAATCACTGGGTCAGGTTTTGAAATTGAAATTTAGGGCAACTTCATTCTGTACATCAGACATAGTAATTGTTAGGACTCTGTTCAGCTTGATTTGTATTTTGAAAGACTGAGATCTGGTCTCGGACTGTTGAAAAATGCCAGTAATGTGGGTCATTTTTATTTCTTTCTTACTACTACTTTACTTTGTGGTAATATGAAATAAAATGAATTTCTGGGGCCAGCAGTGCTGTGGTGGATAAGGGCACTGGATTCCCACATGGCCAACCATGGTTCAAGTCCTGGACCTGGTGGCTTGCTTTCTCATTTTCCCTTTCTCTCTCTCTCTCTCATCAAATAAAGAAAAAGATAATAACAAATTTAAATAAATAAATAAATAAACAATTCTTTTTAAAAAAATGAATTTCTCCTGAGTAGTTATTTGTTTTTGTTTTTTGCTATAGGGCATATGTACTCATCAGAGAGAGAAAAAAAATTGAGAAATTATCCCCTGAAGGGAAGATTGGCTACACTGTATTCCCTGCTCCTCCAATCTCCTCTCAGGATTTTGGATATGCATACATATGCACCTGGTGTGGTTTTCAAGTTGCTGGTTCCAGGACTTGAACTGTGAAGATGGCCATGTTATCCAGTCCCTTTACTTCCACACCACTTGCTGGCTCCATCTCAGAGCTTTTTGTTGTTGTTGTTTATTTTTAACTATGCTAGTACTTTAAAATTAGCATTCCTTGCCTGTAAGCCTCTGTAAGAATATTTAGAATAATGATGCTAGCAGCTTTTTTGCCAACTGCTTTAAGAAAATTGTGTGTTTGTCAGGTGTGTTCTGCTATCCCTATTAGAAAGTATGGAAAGACATAATTTCACCATATGAATAGAAAGTCAGTATGTAAGATTGAATCCCTCTAAGTCACTCTTGTAGTAAAGACTCAGAAGTCGTGTGACAGCCTGGCTAAAGGCTGGTGCTCTTACTAAGATATCTCCACTATTATTAATAGTGGTCAAATCTCCACTATCCTTTCTGACAGGCTTTTTATTTTTTATATTTTTCATCTGCAGATTATATAACCTAAGTGTCTGTTTCCTCATTGCTTAGTATTGGGATAATAGTATAATAGTAGTAATGATGTTACATGAAGATTAAATGAGATTCTTTTTTTTTTTTTTCTTTTTTTTTTTCTGTAGGGCATGTGCGCTTGCCAGAAAGACAGAGACACAAAGTGAGAAATCACCCCCCAAGGGGGATGGCCATGCCGCAATCCCTTCTCCTCCATTCTTCTCTTGGGATCTTGGGCACACACACATGTGCGCCCAGCATGAGTTTAAGACACCAGGTGTGGGACTCCAACCACGGTCGGCTTGGGAGTTCAGCGACATAGTCATTACGCTAACTGCAGGTCCCAAATGAGATAAAGAGTTTTTTGTTTTTTTTTTTTAAGAATTATTTTATTTAACTTTATTTATTTATTTAGTTTAATTTGACCAGAAAAAGACAGAGCAAAAGAGTGAGAGAGAAAGAGAAAGCGAAAGTGAGAAAGCAAGCCGCCAGGTCCATGACTTGAACTGCGCTTTGCTGTGTGGGAGTCCAGCACCCCTAACAACCACGCCAAGCTGCTGGCCTGAACAGTTTAAGGTTGTATCTGGAAGTACATGAACCTGAGTAATTAAAAGTGAAAGTAGTATCTACATTTAAGGAGTTATGATCTTTTAGTGAGGCTAGGATACATAAATTATTATAATGGTTGGTAGAAATTGGTAAATATCTTTGGAGTTCTGTAGTTAAAGTTTGGGGGGAGGTCTTCATAGCAGGCAATATTTTTTAAACAAAGAGGACCAGAAAGCCTTTGTTAAAGGGATGAATGTGTTCCTTCACACAAGGTACTAAATAATTACTAAATTAATGTACTTTGAAAGATAAATGTGAAAAGAGGTTTTTAAAAAAAGATAACTTTCTGGGCAAAGGAAGAAACACAAATAAAAGCATAATTATAGGATCTTTATTAGATCGCTGTGAGTTTTGTTTAATTTTTTTTTTTCTTTTTTATGTTTCCAATTTAACTGAAGGGTCCTTGAAAAGGAGGGTGAGAAGTGATTGGGAAAATACAATAGGTCCGGGTTATGAAGAGTCTTGTACCTCTTCAGGGTCACACTTAAGAGTTTGTGTCTTTTTTGGTAGGGGCAATAAGTCATTAAAGGGTTTCTAGTGCCAGATGATAGGAGAATAGCTAGACTTTTAGAAGGTTTGCTCAGCACAGGGCATTTCTGATCCTAAATCTGTAAGGTGCTTTAGGAGTTTGGTAAGCTTGTATTGAAATTACTTTGTGATTGAAGTAATTCAGAAGCAGCTTCTGGGCCCTGATTTGGGACCAAGAGGAAGAGAGCCCCATTATCTGCAGAGCTGGTCCAGTTGACGATGGGGTACATGTTGCCCTCTTAAGTCTCATCTACAGCCTGACTTCAAGCCCTCAAGTTTTATCTAGCAAAAGGTTTATATGGAAAGAGCATTTAAAAACCCAACAAACTAGTAATGTATGTTGGACTTTGAGAGGAAATTGGCTGGAGAAAGATGTCAAATTAGAATACTTCTACAATAATCTTAGCATGAAGAAAGAATAGAGATCTGTTGAATGAGAAAGATAAGAACTCATAGACTTGGTGACCTCCTGGGTGTGGAAATCTCAAAGATGGACTGTGACCTTCCAGAAGAGAAATACATTAACTGTATATACACAACTGAGTAAATGTTTGAAGTTATATTCATTTCAACAGGTGCAAAATCAACATGCAAAAGAAGAGTCTCTTGCTGATGACCTCTTTAGGTAAAGTTGAATTTCAGCTTCTTTGTGTGCTCTTGAGAAATGTACATAAAATTCAATTCTATTTGTAGAGGTTAAATATTCCTTACTTCTTTCCTTATAGACAGCTAGTCTCTTCATATAAAGAATGCTTTTAACATCTGTATTTCTTTTTATTTCTTGAGTACAGTAGATAAATCTTTTTTTTTTCAGGCACAACTTTTTTATTTTTCAGTAGATAAATCTTTGAGGTTTGGGGTGGATTTCTGTTGTACTGTATCACATGGTATTTTAAAATTAGTATGGAGGCATTTACACAAAAAGAAGATTCTGAGTTGGGGGAATTTGGTTTATAAATTTGTGAGATTTTTTTAACTCTGGTAGAATTATGAAAGAATGGGTTGTGTAATTAAGACATGTAAAATGCCAGACCATTTGCTTAATTTTAGTTGGCACATGCATAAAAACAAAAGGCTGGATTAGAGTTTCAAAGCAGGCTTTTATGGGAGATTTTGAGGGCTTATAGTGGATGGCTATAATTTGATTGAGTTAACACATTTTCAGCATCCCTGCCAGTCCAACAGACCTTATAGTAATTGTCTATCAAATACTCATAAAGTACTGTATTAGAGGTAATAGCTAAGGAAGAGTAACATTTTTCCCATTTTGCTTAAAGACAGAACCATGAAGTACTATTTTTTTAGTCCTCTTTGTAGCCAATTTATCACTTTCAGAGTTGGTAATATAAGTGCAATAGTAAAAATGTTGACAGACAATATTGATTGTTAGTGAAGTGGTAAGTTTGTTTGAGGCTTTTTATACTCTTATGCAAATAGTATACCTTAACTTATGGGGTAGGAAGAATCAGTGTGAAGCCGTAAACCGTTGTTTTCATTATTATTTTAACACTTTACAGGGTTTTTGTTATTGTTGATGTTTTCACCAAATAGTCATCAAGGCAGCATCAAATAAATGAATGAAAATAAAAATATCAGTGCTTAATATTTTATCTTTAAGGACAAAATTAGCATTCTTACCCTATTTGCTTAAGTGTTGTTATAGTTTGGAAGCCCTTTCACATTAAAAGTAAAAGAAAGGCATCCTTTATCTGAATGTCCTCTAACCTCTTTTCTTTCTTTACAGATATAATCCCAATGTGAAAAGAAGGAGATAACTGAAGATTTTCAAAAGAACCCATGGAAAAACATTTATAATAAAACATTTATTTGAATCTAACTGATATACATGAATATAGTACATAGAAAAAATTTAAGTTATAAATATGCCATAGCCTAAATTTGTTAAATAAAATGAACACATGTATTTTTGTGTGTGTGTGACAATGAATAGTCTATTTTCAGGCTTTGTCATCTCATCTTTCATGACAAAAATTTTTTATGCTTTTCCTTTAGTGACTTCTATTTAAATGAATAGTCAATACAGTTACAGTTCAAAATTCTGAAAGTATTGGGTGGTTGCGAAAGTCATGACACATTTTTGCATGGAAAAACACGTCATGAGTTTCCCAGCGACCTAATAGATAAGGATAAAGACCCAAGTATCTCTTCTGGTCCATCTTCACTTTTTGGTACCATTCAGGAAAAAATCCATGATACCCATTCTTACACTTTTTCTAGAGATTTTATTACCTATTCACACTTACCTGTATATCATTTTCAGTAACTTCTTACACAAATGATAGCACGTAAGTGAAAATTCTGCACCTTGCTGCTTTTTATTTAATAGATTGAAAGATCATATACATATTAACACAGTTTTTTAAATCCATTATTATTGTAGTTTTCCTAAACTGGATTGACCCAAATTAAATACTTTGAGTAATGAAGATACCACCTATATATATTACTCTAGTCCCTGCAACTGAAAATAATAATAAGACTTCATCAAATTTTTGGGTAAAGCTTACCAGAATGGGAAGACCTATATCCATTTTGGTGGTCTTATTGAGCTGGGTGTTCCCCCATTTTTTAGTGCACAGAACAGATTGAGAAAGTGAGAAAATACCTCTGGGGGAATGACATGCCGCAATCGGTTTTTCATTCTCTACTCAGGATTTTGGGCACCTGTTCACACATGCCTGGCATGATTTTCAAGCTGCGAGATCCAGGAAGTTGGCCATGTGAGATCTGGCTGCCTTAACCTTCAAGCCATCTGTTGACCCCTGTTCTGAGTTTTTGTTTGTTTTGTTTTGTTTTGTAGAGGTTTTTGCCTTAGGATGAGTGTGCTCCCTGGAGAGAGAAAGAGAGAAACAGACATAGTAAGGGGCAAGGTGAGAAATTACCCCTCAGGAGAGATGGTCACACCATAGTCCTTTCTCCTCCATTCTACTCCTGGGATCTTGGGCATGCACACAGATGTGCTGAGTGTGAGTTTCAAGCCACCAGATCCATTATTCAAACTGCGATCAGCCATGTGGGAGTCAGCAACTAAGTGCTATATACCATTTGCTGGCTCCTGTCTACAGATTTTTAAGAGACCTAGTTTTCTTGCTTATAAAGTAGAATTGGTGAGACTTATTTTTTCTAATTTAAAGGGAGATGGTAAGAAAAAAATTAATGTCTCTTTGTTCAAATTGTATTAATACAAAAAAAAAAAAAGGCTTTCAATTCTGGTTGTACATTAGAACTACAGTGAAGTCTCTCTTCAGCTCCAAGGATTGATGCGTGACATCCTGTCACCCTAACAGGCTTCCCTTTTTATGTTAGAGCAGAGCCTGAAAAGTTATAGCACTGGGCTAGCCCCCTAGCACACTGGTTAAGTGCTGTTCATGGAAAGCCAGGTTTCACATGGCCAACCATAGTTTGAATCCCAGCCCTGTCAGGTTGGGAAACAAATCGAGTGCAGGTGCGTGTGTGCCCTAAATGCTGACATAAATGGAGGGAAAAGGATTGTGGCATGATCATTCCCCATTGTGAGATGTTTTTTCCTCTTTTGTATGCATGCCTATCCATGTGCCCAAAATATACTGTTACCTGATCTTTGTGGAAACTTCTGTGTTCTTCAGTATTTAGTTGGGGTGGTCACTACATTTAAGTATCTGGCTAAAATGCTTTATACCTTTGACCAGCCCACAGAACATATTATTTCTTCTTTTGGAAATGGTTTGTAAATGCCATAGCTTTTTTGTTTTATTTTATTCTCACTTTCCATTTTCCTTTCAGATTATTTAGTTAGGAAACATTAAACACACAGTACTAACAAAACATTGCCTTTCACAACACTGGGAAAGACTTCGAAAAGTACTCTAGTAAATTTTACTTAGCATGGAAGAGTACTATTAATAGATGGAGATGTTTCACATCACTTTGTATGGGATATGGATATGGGATATATCACTGTGTTTTTCAATCTACTGGGTCAGCCATGTGGAATCCAGCTGCTTTAACCACCAGGTCATGGAGTCAGTCCAACCTATTCAGTCTTTATAAAACTGTTGGCCTGTACATCTTTTGTTATTGTTGTTTTGGTTTTGCAATAGGACTTGTGTGCTCTCTGGAGCAACAGAGAGTGAGAGAGGGAAAGTGAGAAATCATCACTTGGTAGGATGACCACACCGCATCCCCTTCTCCCTTCTTCATTCTCTTGGGATTTTGGGCACACATGCACACATCCCCAGTGTATTTTCCAAGCCATTGGGTCCAGAACTCTAATCACACATTTGGCTCTATAGGATCCAGCCCACCACACCACCTGGCTGGCCCAACCGTTACATCTTTTATGACAAAGAAGGTGCTATTGTTTGAATGTGTCCTGGAAAATATATGTGTATGGAAATCTGGTGAGCCATTGCAGTAGTGTTCAGGAGGTGAAAACAATCTGATTATAGCGTTGAAAGGCAGGATCATTGGGAAATAATTAGACGTCGGGGTGGAGCCTTCATGATTGGATACTTGTGGGTTTATAAGGAGGCAAAAAGCACACAGACATGCTTGCTGTCTCATCATGTGACTTGCCACCACCATATTATCCACCATCAAGAAAGCTTCACTAGATGCAACCCCTGGACCTTGGACCTCCAAACTAAATCATATGAACCTGTTTTTATAAATAAACCCCTTTTAGGTATTTCCTTAAGCAAAAGAATGGACTAGAATAGAAGGGGAGAATAACCTGCCACCTCCTTTTTTTCATGATGAATGGAAACTTCCCTCATTTCTAGCCAAGAGCTTCAGGAGTTGTGGAACAGCCTAGCTTCCTGATGGCAGGGAGGACGTGACCTGCCCTTTAGCTGCAATCACAATTGTCCATTCCCCAGCAAACTCTTTGAAGTCACAGAATCTCTTTCCAGGTATATCTCCCTAGCTACTAAGGAGTAACTTTTTGCTAGACTTCTTTCTAATTTTACTACGGAAGCCTTGTCACACTAATGAAAGTGGTTATTTAAATTATTATGATCCAATTTTCTTTTTATGAGATTGAAGCAAGTTAAGATTTGGGTAAAGTCTTCAAGTTCAATAAGACTAACAATTCTGTGAACATTTTTGCCCTTTTGACTGACCACTTACTATGAGCATAAAAGAATCAGCCTGCTTTCCTTTACAAGATGATGCTGTGGGATAGGCAGACTCTCTGGAAGCCATTTCACTGTTCTAATTGAATGTTACTTTTGATTTGTACAGGCTAACCTCCCAGACTAGAGGGAAAACACTTAGTTAAAATGGAGCATCCACTCTGTCAGCACCTTGAAGACTGTAAATGGCAAGCCAAAAGATCTGGATTTTATTCCATAGGCTCAGGAAGGTTGTTGACTTTCTGAGTGAGGATTTCAAAATCAGTGTGTCCATTCTGCATAAGGTATATTAGGAAATAGAGATCAGAACCATCTCTACTCCAAATTCTAATTTAAGGTAACAGAAACCTCTGTCAGTGTTTTAAGAAAGAATTTAATTGAGGGAATTAGGTGCTTAAAATGGTTAGAGCAGGAGTAGGTGCTAGTCTGGGTCATCAGGAAAAACTCCCTGTATGACGAAGAACAGGTAGCTCCTACCTCTGACACCTCAAAGGAGCTATGTGCCCAAGAACATATTTTGCAGCCTATGATCCTGAGAGAAGGAAATTACAAGAATCACTACAACTACTCAGTTTTCTGGAAAATGAGGACAGTACTCATACAGGAAAACCATATTTCTGTGATTTCTTTGTAAGCAGAAACAGAAAAAGGGCCATGAAGCTGTACCTTACGTCCACCTTCTAAATCTTGGTGCATCTACTTGCCAGAATAATTAACCTACTTACAGGTTCTAGCTACTTACAAGTGGACTTTAGCCGCAAGAGAGTCAGAAAAATGTAGTTTTTAAACTCCTCAGCCTTCTAGGAGTGGGACAGGGTCTACAACTTGTATAGACATCTAGGTCAATTAAAACATTACTGAACTAGTATGGGGGTTTATGGACAATTATGATAGTGGTATGACACTGGAGAGAACATGGGACACCTTAGAAGTAGAATTGACAGGACTTATTAAATGAGATGGAGTCTTTTGAGTCTCTTAATGGTCTTGCTTCCATTGTTTGCTAGTGAAGCTGATGGAACATATGTAGTCTCTATTTTACAGGTGAGGAATAAGATGGACATTAATATTGGTCCCTCATGTCACAGTCCCTAAGAAAGACTGCCCAGCCTACCCAGTTTTGATAGTATCAATGTGTGACTCCAACAAAGGTATGAGGGTTCTGGTAGCTTCTATGTTTACAAACATTGGTACTGTTAGAGTTTTCCATTTTAGCCATTTCAGTGCATGTGTAGTAGTATCTTGTTTTTAAATTTACATCTCCCCGATCACTTTAATTGAGCTATAGATCTTTATACATCTTGGATACACATTCTTTCATCAGATAAATAAAGGCTATTTCTCTATTCTGTAGCATAAGTAATTCTTAATATTTTATGAAAAATAGAAGTTTTAAATGATTAGATTAGGTCAAATTTATCAAAATATCTTATATTTATTATCACATTTGATTTAACCCCAAGATTTTAAAGATACTCTGTTTGACTGTGTAAATATTTCAGCTTTATGTATGATTCTTTTTTTTTTGGAGAGGTTTTTGCTATAGGGCGCATGCGCTCGCCAGACAGACAGAGAGAGAGACAGAGAGATAGAAAGCGAGAAATCACCCCCCAGGGGGGATGGCCACGCCACAATCCTTTCTCCTCCATTCTCCTCTCAGGATCTTGGGCACACACGCACACGAACCTAGCGTGAGTTTTAAGCCACCAGGTCCGGGACTCGAACTGCGGTCAACTACGTGGGAGTCCAGCGACATAGCCATTATGCTAACTGCTGGTCCCTAAGATTCATTTTTTTAAAACTATATCATTATTATTATTTTAATTTGTTATAGGGCATGTACAGTTATTCAGAGAGAGACAGGGGGCGGGTGGGGAGTGAGAAAGCAAAACTGCCAGGTCCAGGACTTGAACCACAGTGAGCCATATGAGAGTCTGGCACCTTAACCACCATGCCACCTGCTGGTCCCAAGATCCACCTTGAATTAATTCATTTAAAAAATTTGGGGGGGACAGAGGCTTGCACATCTGTTTTAAATTTGTCTCCAGGCATTTCACATTTTTTATACTGTAACTGGTACTTTGGAGAAGTTCATTTTGCCATGATTAATTGCTTATATATGGAAATACTTTTTTTTTTTTTTGATAAGTGTGTGGGGACACCAGCAAAAGTGAGAAGACAGGTATTTTTGACAGGTCTCACCTTGTTCAGTCCCCCAGTCTCCAGTTAGGTCAGACCACAGGCATACATCACTGTGCCTGGTCTGCATAGCTTGTGCTGGAACTGAACCCAGGCCTCCCAGGTGGACTCAGCCGTGTACACAGTGTCTTCCCACTTGTGCCACATGGTTGGGTCTATGATTACTTTGCTTCCTGAATTTAGAGCCTAACTTGCTACACTCACCTTTTCCAGTAATTTTTTTTTTTTTTGTAGATTCATTAGGGGTTTTATATACACAATAACATGATCTGTGAATAAACAGTTTTAGTTCTTTTCCAACATTTTTGCTTTTTTTTTCTTACCTTATGAGATGGTTAAGATTACCAATGTTGAATATTTATCTCTGATATTTGGGAGCAATTCAGATTTTCTATTTCTTGTGGCAGTTTTGTAGTTGATGTCTTTCAAGGACTTTGTCCATTCTTCTAAGTTGTCAAATTTATTAGTATAAAGTTTTGACAATAGTCCAACTATTTAATGTCTGTATAATATGTAGTCATGTCTCCTTTATCGATCTTATTAACAGAGCTTTGTGTTCTTTTTTCTTTTCTAAATTTTACTAGAGGGTGCATGCACTCACTAGAGAGACAGAGATAGAGAGAAAAAGAGAGAAAGTGAGAAAGCACGTCCCATGGGGGATGGTCATGCCACAATCCTTTGGGGATTTTGGGCATACACATGCATTTGGAACATTTTTCAAGCTGCTGGGTCCAGGACTCAAATTGCATAACCAACCATGTGAGACACAGCTGCCCTAACCACCATACCACCAGCTGGCCCATGTTCTTTTTACCTTGATCAGTCTAGCTAGAGTTTTGTTTTGTTTTGGTTTTGGTTTGTTTTTTTTTTTTTTTTTTTTGAGAGGTTTTTGCTATAGAGCGTGTGTGCTCGCCAGACAGATAGAGAGAGACAGAGAGACAGAAAGCGAGAAATCACCCCCCGGGGGGATGACCACGCTGCATTCCCTTCTCCATTCTCCTCTCAGGATCGTGGGCACACACGCGCACGCACCCAGCGTGAGTTTCGAGCCACCGGGTCTGGGATGCGAACCACGGTCGACTACGTGGGAGTCCAGCAACATAGCCATTACGCCAACTGCTGGTCCCCAGTCTAGCTAGAGTTTTAAGCACCAGGTCGGGGACTTGAGCCACGGTCGCCTATATGGGAGTCCAGCAGCATAGCCATTACACTAACTGCTAGTCCCTTATCTCAATTAACTTTTTAAAAATTATTTTATTATTATTATTTTTAAGTTTGCTATAGGACATGTGTCCTCACTAGAGAGAGAAAAAGGCATGAGAGAGAGAGAAAGTGAGAAAGCAAGCCCCCATGTTCAGGACTTGAACTATTGTCAGTCATGTAGGAGTCCAGTGCTTTAACCACCACACCACTTGCTGGCCCCCCCACCATTAACTTTTTTTTTTCCATAGAATTATTTAATTTTTAAAAAGGTTTTTGCGGGACTGGTAGGTGGCATGGTGGTTATGGGCGCTGCACTCCCACATGGCCGACTGCTGCTCGAGTTCCAAGCTTCCTTTCTAATTTTCCCTCTCTCTGTGTTATCACTCTGTCCCTCTCTGGTCAAATTAAAACAAATAAAGTTAAACAAAATAATTCTTTAAAAAAGAGGTTTTTGCTTTCGGGCAAATGTACTTGCTAGAGAGAGAATAGATAACAGTGAGGGGGAAAGTAAGAAGTAAGCCCTCAGAGGGGAATGGCCATGCCGCAATCCCTTCTCTATTCTCCTCCTGAGATCTTGAACATGCACACACATGCCTTGCATGATTTTTGAGCCTTCAGGTCTGGGACTTGAAATTGCCGTTGGCCATATTGTCTGCAGTTTGAATTTCTTGCATTTATGGGTTGCTTTTTACTTTTTAATTATAATCTGAAAATGTTTTTTTCTCATTTCTCTTTTACACATTTTTATAGTTTACCAAAGGTCATCTTTTGACCTTTTTTTCCTGTTCCTTTCCCAAAGACACCATTTTTCTTGAATAACCCAGGTGTAGTAATCCAAACTCAGTAGAGTATCTGTTTAATACTATTTCACATTTTTCAGATTTAGCTATGGGGACCGTGGCACTTTTTGCCCCTAGGAATGTATATATGGTGTTTTTAAAAGGCTATGACCCAAATGGTCAAACTGGCATATGCTACAACCAGACCTTGTGACTGTTACATTTTTAAATGACATTTCAATTCCGCATAATTTTCTTCCATTTTAGGTTCCTCAGTGTTCCAAAACTGGTAATTAATGGAACTTCCTTTAATTTAATGGGATACATTTAGACATTTTCACCAGTCCAGTTACTACTCTGTAGTATTTTAAAGTACCTTTCAGTGTGATTTTTAAAGACCTATTAATTAAAATTTGATGCTATGGCAACACAATACATAATACTATAGATTTTCAAAAAGACTAAAGTTGGATGCTCAGACTAAAACATCGAAAGTGATAACTAAACTTCATTTCCCTTGTATCATTTTTTCATTTTTCAAGCCACTACGTCTGGGACTGAAACCAGTTAGCAGTGTGAGAGTCCAGAATCCTACCCCCTATGCCACTTGCTGGTCCCCTAACCTGAGACAAGCCTCCAGTCCACGACTCAAACTGCAGTTGGCCATGTGTGAGTCCAGAGACCTACCACCATGCCACCTGGTGGCCCGTTTTTAAGTGCAAATAGATTGTTTTGTAAACATTTAACTATTCAATATGGATTGTTTGTCAGATACTAAGCTAGATTTGGAGAGATGAGGAGGAATGCCCACATCATGTTAGGAATAGTTAAGTCAAGCACTTATTTTTCCCTTTCCTGAATAGCTGATACTGACAAATAAGGAAACATTTGAAATTATGGACAGAAATTGATGAATTTTAAAAGTACAGGAGTATAGGGACTAGCAGTGAGCATAATGACTGTATCACAGGACTCCCATGTAGTCGACCGCGGTTCACGTCCCGGACCCCGTGGCTTAAAACTCACGCCGGGTGCATGTGTGTGCGTGCCCAAGATTCCGAGAGGAGAGTGGAGGAGAAGGCATTGCGGCGTGGCCATCCCCCTGGGGGGTGATTTCTCACTTTCTATCTGTCTCTGGTGAGTGCACACGCCCTTTAGCAAAAAAAAACTCTCCAAAAAAAAAAAGTACGGGAGTATAGTATAGCACATGAGAGAAAACGCTTGAATGTTAATGCTGCACAAGACAGCTGGGATTGAAGGAAACTCGGTAAATGGGACACTATCAAAGATGGAATTACTCACCAGGCTTACGTAGGGCTCTGCCAAAGCTAAAGGCTACTGCTTGATTAAGAGCAGGCTTTCCAGACAGAAGGGGATGGTAACAGGTTTCATCTTTTCTTAGAAACCAGTCTTTATAATGCTGTCATTTCAAATTTAGAAATGACATTGAGAAAAACATCCAGTCCAACTCATTCAGAGTTCCAAAACAGGCAGTAAGAGTAAGCAAATCCAGTGTAAAGGATGTTATTCCATTTCAATAAGGTATGAGATTAGTTTGAAAAACTTCCTATCATAATAGGAAACCAAAACCAGATTGCAGTTTATGAAATCAAATTAATCATGCACGATGGTTATGAAGAGCCTAAGAATTCAATCTAAAGTGTTAGTAAAAGTAAATATATTCTAAATTATATTTAAGATGAGTTATGATCCTAGTAAACTAAATATTGCAGTAAAACGAACAAAAATACTGACACATTGGGCCACTGGTTTATTTTTTGGAGAGGTTTTTGCTACAGGGCGTGTGCGCTTGCCAGACAGACAGAGACAGACATAGAGACAGGAAGCGAGAAATCACCCCACAGGGGAGATGGTCACACTGCAATGCCTTCTCCTCCATTCTCCTCTCGGGATCTTGGGCACACACGCACACAGCTTGAGTTTTAAGCCACCGGGTCCGGGACGCGACCCGCGGTCGACTACGTGGGAGTCCAGCGACATAGCCATTACGCTAACTGCTGATTCCCATCACTGTTTTTAATTCTAAGAAAAATAGATTAAGTGGAAGTTCAAGGAACATAGTCCAGATGAAATAACAGTACCATAAAAAGATGGGGAAATTTGTAATGCAGAACCTCAGAAGACTTTCTAACACCACAAATTCTGGGGATCTATATGTGAAAGTACAGACATTGGGTGCACCAAAATAAAAGTCAAGATAATTAGAGCAGATACATCCCATTAATAACCAAAATATGAGCTGCTACCTTGTCCAATGTACACACATTAGAGATCTCCAAGTAATAATCACCTTGAGAATGGAAAAGATTTTTACCTTATTATCAGTTTTAACCTTTATAGTTCTGACAATACCCAGGCAGATTTACGATGTTATGAGTACTTACCATACCAAAATATTTAGGTTTTAAAGACAGAAATTACTCAATTTTCACACAGAGAAAAGTAGTTCCAGCCATATTTTATTGAATTGCAAGTGAGATTGTTATGGTAGTTGGAAATAAATTTCTGAAAAATATATTGGGTTCTGGGATGTCAAAGTGTACACCAACATTATTAGACTGTTTAAATTATTAGAAGTTAGGAATATGATGTACCTGTCAATGTTTCAACAGTAAAAATATTTTTTAAAAAGACCATCATATTAGGTAATAAATTAGATTTATACAATTGATCATTTCAAAATAAATAAAACCTGAGCAGTATATGCCCCCTACCCTACCCCCCTCCCCAGTACAAATACCTCATATCCCATTTTCATCCAGCCTAGTATGTCCCAAACTTTAATGAGCACACATATCCCTTGGGGATCTTGTTAAAATGCAGTTTTGATTCAGTTAAGCATGTGGTGGGGCCTCAGAGTCCACATTTTTTAAAAGAATTATTTAATTTTATTTGACTAGAGAGGGACAGGGTAAGAAAGAGAGATGGAAACCAAGAAAGCAAGCCGCCAGGTCCAGGACTCAAACCATGGTTGGCCATATGGGTGTCCAGCACCCTTAACCACCATTCCACCTGCCGGCCCCTCAGAGTCTACAGTTTTAACAAGCTATAGATGACACTGATGCAGTTGGTTCTTGGACCACTCTTTGGGCAGGAAAGTGATCCAACATATGTTGAGAATAATTTCTGGCCTAATGACTTGTGTGGTTTTACAGACTCAAGGCTGTATTTTGGAGTCAAATATCACCATAATGACCATAAAAATAATAATAAATCTTGGAAGTATGTTTCAGGTAAGAGAAAGTTTAAAGTATCTCAAGTTGGCAGTGTTTCTGTTGTCTGACACCTTTGATACATTACAAGATAAATCAGGACACCAATTTCTTGTAACTTTAAAAACTCAAGTTACTATTAGCTTGAGGCTCTCCTCCAGATAATTCAGGTCCAGAAAATTCAAGCCAGTACACTGCAAAACCACTATTAAAAATCTTTAATGGTACTTCATTTCAGTGACTTTTAAACTTGCTTTATGCTATCCCATCTCCTCCTCCTCTTTCCACAAATAAATGCTGCTCTTTCTTCTGTCTTACAGCTAAACAGCGTGTGACACCCAATGCCCCTCCCTTTAAAAATCTAACAAAATTATCTCCAACCAAGGGACCCAAGGCAAAAAGATTGGCTCCCTTAACACACTCATAGGTATATGCCTCTATTTCCACAGGGTTACCCTTACATGTGATTGGCTGGCTTGCGTTATGGCCTAAGTAACACCCTTGTTCCTTCAGAAAAGAGAGATTAGGATGAGAACCTATCAATACGACTGCTGCTGAGAGCTTAAATATTGTCTTCAATCCAGAGATACTTTGAAGAATGCACTTCATGTCCGACTTAAAGGAAAGCACATGGTGCTCAGGAAAACTGGTATAATCAGATAAAAGATTTGAGTCTGCAGAATATGACTGAGTACACATCATATGATAGACTTTATGATACTCGGGGTAAAGCTTTTTGGGAAGCTACTTGAAAATTAAGCTTGGATCAGTTACTCGTCTGTGAAATACATGAATCACAGGGATATTATTGTTGTAGGCACACAGAACTGCATCGGCTGCAGTAAGCCCAGAACCTACAATTAACACTGGGTCCACTTTGCCACGCAACTTTCCTTTGCTTATAGCAGCTCCAAATTCAGGCATTGAATGAAACACAAAAGGAAAATCTTCCCCTTCGATTTCCAGATGAGCAGGAGAGTCCAGTGTTCCAGTTGCCAGGGCTACATTCTCAGCAAGGAGACAGAAAGGGACATGAGAACCATCTGCTATTCGCTGGTAACCCCTGATCTCCCAGTTTCTCTTGATAAATGTTGACTTCTCTATCTGTAAGGGCTCTGCAGAAATATCTCTGTCTCTACTATCATTATCATCTTGCTCTCTGTAAAGTCTTGATACAGAGGTTATGTAAGTATTCTCTCTGAAATTCTTCTGAAGTCTCATAGCTTTTACATAATGTTTATAATAGCGAGCTATTTCCTCTGGCATAACTCCGTCCCCTTTTAGGTTCCTATAAAAGGAAAAGAAAAATATTCAATGAGGAAACATTTAGTTTTTATGATTATTACTTTCTCCAGCTAGTAAGCCTTTATAGCTTTCTCATTCCTCTGTACTGTTGAGCTATAAAGTATCCTAACACTTTATTTACAAAGAATGCTTTCTTTTGGGTAAGGTTTTTTTTTTTTTTTTTTTTTTTTGTTTTGTTTTGTTTTGCTATATGGCATTTGTGCTCACAGAAGAGACAAACAAAAAGAAGGAAAGTGAGAAATTAACCCCCCACGGGGAGGGCCACACCACAATCTCTTCTCGCCATTCTCCTTTTAGGATTTTGGGCATACACCCACATGTGCCCAGGGTGATTTTCAAGATACTGGGTTCAGGACTTGAACTGCAGGTGACCATGTGGGAGTCCAGCACCTTAACCACCATACACCAGCTGGCCCCATGAGTCTCTCTCTTTTTCTAAAAATTGTTACTGAATTAGTTTTATCAACAGAAGTCCCTATCATGAAAATAGACACTGTACTTAACGCATCTTTGTTTTTCCAGTGCCATGCACCATGTCCACTCAAATTAGCTGATAAATTTTTATTAAATGAAGGGATGAAAATGTGAATACCTGAAAATCAGATTCTTGTATCTCACAGCTGTAATCTATAACTATCAACTGAATGATTTAGATTATAATAACTGAAATATTACAGGTCTCAGTATGTCTATGCTTCTTAAAGATTATATATACCACCTTAATATGATTTTCAGTTTAAGTTGCTTCCTATTTTCCTAATGAGTGAAAATAATTCAGATTTGTTTCTGCTGAACAAAATCATCTTATGCCTAATAACATGTAACATTTCACTGTTTTCTACTCATAAAGAGATCTTAAAACACAATCAGTACATCTTTCCTTTCCCACTTAAATTTTTTTGGGGGATGGTCGGAGGTGTTGCTGCCATAAGGCACATGCACTTGCTGGAAAGAGACAGTGAGAGGGAAAGTGAGAAATCACCCTCTGGGGCAATGGCCATGCTGCATTTCCTTTTTCTCCATTCTCCTCTAAGGATTTTGGGCATGCAAGCACATGCTCTCAACATGATTTTCAAGCCACCGGGTCTGGGTGGGACTCAAACCACTGCTGACCATGTAGGAGTCCAGTGCTTTAACTACCATGCCACCTGATGGCTCCATTCCACTTGAATTTTAAAGCAATGGGCAGTAATGCACCTAAACCCATAGTCCCAATTAGAGGTAAGGAGCAGGGGGAAAAAAAGCATGACATAATTCATTATAATTTATAGTTGGGAGTTCACAAAAGTTTTCCATTTTAAAATGTAGTGATTACAATTAAGACTTAGAATGTATGAATTCAAACAATTTTTTACAGAAACCTTATGTACTAGTTACTATCATTATCATCTCCATTTTATGTGCTAGAAAACTAACAGCTAATTTATTTGCCCAGGATCATAACATTAGAAGTTACAGAGTTAGTTATCAAATGCTGTCAATCTCTAAAGACCAGGGTCTGCTTTTCTTTTTTAGGTTCTAAAAATAACCTTTATGTTCTAAATTAATATAGGCATTACAGAAAACTGAGAAGCACAAGAAGCAAAGAACAAAGTAATTTTCGATCACAAGCAGTTGACAGTTGGATATGTCCTAAGTCCTGCTGTGTGACTAAGATTATACAGTGTATGTCATGCTTTTTCATGCATGATACTAATTAAAAAATCCCAAAGCTATGACTCTTCTGATAACCAAGAATACACTACGCCAACCAAAAATACACTACACCAACTCAAACTGTTACAAAAAAATGTTATCTCCTTTCTTGGGGACAAAAATTTCACAGAGGACAAGAATGGCAACAGGCCTTGAGGTAAAAGTATCAGCAGTTGCAATAAAATATTTTGGAGCCAGATGGCAATGCAGCAGTAAACTGCAATGCTCTATGAGACACTCCCTCATGGAAGGTTTCCAGTTCCAGTCTGGAGACCTCCCTGAATATGCTGTCATGTGTATGCCAGGGATCCAGGGCTGTCTGAGGGCCAGGGGTGGATCACACTAGTAAAGGCTGCTACTTGGCGTGCTCTCTCTCTCATGCACACATTCTCACGGCACACATAAACAAACTTGAAAAGTAATGCATTTCCTTAATGTTCAACTTAAAACATGAAGGACCAGCCTTGCAGCCTAGTGAGGAAGCCAAGAGCCGACATGGCCAACCACAGCTTGAAATCTGGCCCCCAGTGGCTTGAAAAACATGCTGAGCACATGTGCGTGCCTGTGTGTCCAAAATCCCAACGGGATGGAGAAATGGAGGAGAGGGGATTGCACTATGACAGTGCCCCACTGAGAGATGTTCTCTCTCTTTGTCTGTCTCTGGAGATCACACATATCTTCTGGTAATAAAAAAAAAATAGATATAATGAAACAATACATGAAATATAATGTTTCTACAACAATTCATTATCAGCTCTATACTAAATGTTAGCAATGTGTTTCCAATGAATTAATGCATTCCTATAGTACAGCCAAAAGAGATGTGCATACATTAAAGGCTATCATCAAAATGTAAACATGGGTACCAATAGATGGTGTAACGGTTATGTTGCTGGACTACCATGTAGTTGACCGGTTTGAGTCCTAGACCTGGTGGCTTAAAACTAAAGCTGGGTAACCAGCAGATGGTAGAATGGTTACATTCCTGGACTCCCACGTAGTCTATCGCAGTTTGAGTCCCACCCAGGATGACTTCAAATTCATGCTGGGCATGTGTGCATACATGCCCAAGATCCCGAGAGGAGAAAGGAGAAGTAATTATGGCATGGCCATGCCCCCCAGAGGTTGATTTCTTACTATCTGTCTTTCTGGTGAGTGCACAAACCCTATAGCAAAAATCTCTTAAAAAAAAAAAAAATCTCACCAGTATGTGTTCATGTGTGCTCAAAATCCCAAGAGGAGAAGGGACTGTGGCATGGCCATCCTCCCTGGGGGTTATTTTCTTGCTTTCTGTCTCTCTGTGTCTCTCTAGCAAGCACATGTGTCTGATAGCAAAAATCTCTCTCTTAAATAAATAAGGAAGGAAGGAAGGAAGGAAGGACAGAAAGAAGGAAGGAGGGTAGGAAGACATGGGGCCAGCAGTGGCATGATGGTTAAGGGTGCTGGATTCCTGCATGGCTGATCATGGTTTGAGTCCCAGACCTGGCAGCTTGCTTTCTCACTTTCCCTTTCTCTCTCTCTCTCTCTGGTCAAATTAAAATAATAGTACTAATTATAATAACAAATGGAATTAAGTAAACAAAATCTTTAAAAATAAAAAAGTACACATGAACACATCTACATACTTCTCCCTCTGTACTTCCTTCAGACCCTCTGCTGCCAATCTAATGAGTAAGTCCTGATATACCCTGCTCAGAGATGGTTCAATGATTCTACCTCCAAGATACATCTACTTTCTCTTCTATAACTGTCACTTCAAGACAACTGTGAACTCAGGTGTTAACAAAATAATGAATCTTTGTACACAATAAACACAAGTACTTTACAAAACTCTACATATAGTCCTGTGGTTACCAGCTAAAATTGTCTTCTAGATAAGGACACAGGCGCAATGAGTCCTTCCCATTACTCTTCCCATTTTGCTTCTTCTATGAGACCAGTGTCTACACCTGTAGTCAAGAAGTGAACTAACAAAGCTTGCTTCCAGGAGATAGTCCTTCCTAAAAACTAACAAAAGGACATTTATAGGCCCAACCACTGGTAGTTGCTGCTACTTGGCAGGCTCAGGACACGTGGAATGCCTGGATTCAATTCCCAGCCCACTCTAAAAAGTTGAGTTTGGGGGCATGCACTTGTAGCCTTAGCCTCAACCTCCTCAGCCTCAGGAGGGTAGATCAGGGGGGTCCTGAGAGTGACTCTGGGAGGGGGGACATCAATAAAAGATTTCATTTCTATCTTTACTTTAAAAATGTTTATCTTTATTCATGATAGAACATGTGTGTACATGAGAGATGCGGCAAGGAGAGAGGGAGATGAGCAACTACCACGGGGTCTGGTCACACTGCAATTCCCTCCCTCTTGTTTCAGTCCATCAGATCCCAAGGTCTGAACACATGCCTGGCATGTTTCAGGTTGACTGGGCTGGATATTTGCACCATGGTCATCATATGGAATCTGACTTCTCTTGAGCAGAACCACAGAACCAGCCTTGGTACCTCTATTTCTAACATACTTTGGGCATCAAGAGTTGTTTATCTATAATGCACAGCAAGATTAACTAACATGCACAAAGTAGGACAAAGGCTAGTCCATCTAAACTCAGCTAACTTATGGGCACTGAAACCTCTCATGCCCACCAGACTGTAAGTGGTTAGCATACTTTCCAAGACATAAAGTTTAACAATTCCATTCCCAAATGTAACTACTCCTAAGAAAGGACAAAAAATACTTAACGGGGGGTCACTTCACCCTTCAACTTATACAAGGGGATTTCTTTTAAAAGTTCAAGGATGATGAAATTAAAGTACAAGTTTATTTTGAAAAAGTAAACATTATTAGGGCTAGGAGGGGGCATGAAGATTAAGGCACTGGATACCCAGACGTCCAGCTGCAGTTCAAGTCTCCAACCTGGTGGCTTGAAAATCATGCCAGGTCCATGTGTTAATGTGCTGAAAATCCTGAGAGGAGACTGTAGATGGTACTGCAGCAACCATCCCCCTTGAGGGGTGATTCCTCACTTTCTCTCTCTGCCTCTGTCTCTCTCCATCTTTCTCCAATGAGCACACACACCCTATGTAAAAAATCTAAAAAGTTAATATTATAAAATTATAAGAAATTTTGAAATATATGCCCATTTTCTTTATAATATACATTTTTCATAAACTTTTTGAAGCTCTCTCATAGGTGCACTCCTAAACATCTAGAAAAACTAGATGTTCCAAACAGAACTTTTTTTTCCATTACATGAAAAGTAGCAATGAATCAACTGCCACCTGTAACAAAGGCTATGAATTTGAAAGTTTTTTATAAACAGAAACATTGTGACCAAAAGCCCCCTTCCCTTTCCTACCTCTATCAACTCAGCTCACAGGAATGAGCATTTGTAAAGCTTAGAGATTTTATTTCACTTCCATAAGCGATTTTAACAATCTTTCCTATGAATTTTAACACAAAGTATATTTGGTGTATCAGTTTGCTCTTGTCATACTATGGAAACTTTTTTAAAGAATTATTTTATTTAACTTTATTTACTAATATTTTAATTTTAATTAATTAATTTTTTTTTTAATTTGACCAGAGATGGACAGAGTGAGAGAGAGGGAAAGTGAGAAAGCAAGCTGTCAGGTCTGGGACTCAAACCATGACTGGCAATGTGGGAGTGCAACGCCCTTAACCAATGCATCATCTGCCAGCCCCAACTGGCAACCTCTTTTTAACATCTTGAAAGAGTAGATGTTGCAAATTATGACCACGATTCTGCTTCCAACATGCAATGGTAGGATCTAAAGCTAATATTTATTATAAGATTCAATCTCACATTATGTATAACTTAGAAAGATAAATGCTTCTAGTACTTAAAATCATAAAGCTTTTCCTCTTACCCATTTTACAAAGGGAACGATGTATTGAGCAATTTGACTTCTATACTTACAAAAAAAAAACAAAAAAAAAACAAAAAACAAGAACTTGTATGACTAGCCTAATTTTGCAACTTTAAACTTCAACTCCATATGTAATTTCTTTATTAAAAATCTAAAATGAATTTTTTGAAAGGCTCAATTTCAATTACCCATGACAGTCTAAATTTGCTCTTAAATTTCCTCACATTACAAACAGTGGCTATAGACTAACAGAGTGTCTACCTAAGGGGAAGTCAAGTACTCAAATGTTACATCCTGTTCAAACCAAGATTAAGTAACTTCCTGCTTCAACTTACTGTTGAGTAATTAGAGTACATTCTCTATTTTATTAAATCCTAATTTAATATTTACTATCCTTGAAAATGATAGCTTTTCACATTTCCCTTTTTAAATTTCCCCCAAATAAATAAACCTGTTTTCTGATATGAGATTTCTTCTTACTCTAAATATATATATATTAACTAATTATTTATCTTTATACCCAAGTAGCCAACCATACCATTCTAAATATCTGTTGTAACAATACTCTTTAACCTGAAAGTCAAAAGTTCGGGTTTGTGCACATAATACATGTATATATAAAGTTATGTATCTACTCATAAAAATAAGTAAGAAAGAAAGGGAAAAGGCATGTAGGTAAATGAGAAAGCACCTAAATAGAAGAGAGACTGATTTAATAGAAGACTGCAATAAGCCCATGATAAACAAAGAAGACATAGGAAACCAATCTACAGACCATCTTCACCTCTAAAAAGAAACAAGCCCATCACAATCACTGCTTAAACAAGGCATTTTCATGTGACATGTACATTTACATTCTTCATCCAAGATAGGATCACTAATATTCTGAAATGTTTCTACCAAGTCTTTTTCATTACAAGAATTTTCATTACTTGATCTTTACCTTCGTTTGCTAGACACCCAGTCCTTAAATTTAAGTCCAGGTAGTTCCATCCAATTTCCAAAGCTGATTGTCAACATGGAACCTTCCATATTCTATTGGAATAAAAAAAAGCAGTCAAAAAACACAAGCAGTAACACATAGTTTTTTGTTTTGTTTTAGCCCAAACTATCTCATTTACATTAACTAAGACTCTGAACTAAGTATGCTCAAAATAATCCTAATGGTTGTATAAATGACCTCTGAACCTTAATTCCAATAAGCTTTAATACACCTTTATCTTTTGGTAATACCCATCTATGTTTTTTCTTCCAGTTTTACGCTGCTAAAACAAATTTACATTGCTCAATGTCTATACAAGGTTGACAGCTTCAACCTATTATTAACACGATAATTCAGATGAACAATAACACATAAGAGAACAAATCAATATTTTCTTTTCTTTCTTTTTTTGGTCAGAGAGTATGTGTGCTTGCCAGAAAGACACAGAAACAGGGAGAAAGCACCTCTTAATGGGATGTGGTCATGCCATAATCCTTTCTCCTCCATTTCTCCATTCTGTCAGGATTTGGGGTGTACATTCATGTGTGTTCAGGATGTTTTTCAAGCCATTGGGTTGGGATCTGATCTGTGCAATTGGCTATGTGGGATCTGGCTTCCTTAACCTTTAGGACACAGGGCCAGTCCCAAATCAACGTTTTCACTTTCTAAATAAAAGGAAAAATATTCCTTTACTTGCAAAAGTTTAGATATTCTTTCCCATCAGGCATGAGTACACATGAGTATACCTGCCAAAGATATTTTCAGAGCCTCTGGGGCTGAAACTTGAACCCTGGTCAACCTTATGAGATCCTGCTTTCTCTAGGCCACACTCAAATGATGTGCTATGGGGCTCACTCTACTGCAATATAATTAACAGATTTTGGAAAACTATGGGTGGGGTGGTACAGTTATGGTACCAACTGTATCCACATAAGAGGGTTCACAGTGTAGGGACCCTGCTAGGGGTTCCTATCTGTTTCTTTCTCTCATGGAAGAAAATAATTAATAAACTTCAACAACTGTTTACAAAAATTAGCGACAAAATGGCTTTTTCCCTGTTCTCAATTCTAATCTGAAGTACAGGCTGGTCTGGAAACATCAGCATCTCTTCGTAAGAACAGAAATAAGCAGTGGTTGGCTGAGAAATAAGTTTACCACCAAGGCTAATGCTGTCATTAAAGAAGCAAGCTCCCCTGGCTTACTTCTGGTTTTGCTCAATACACAGAAAAGCCCACATGACCTCGATGATCTCTTTTGAGCAATGGCTTCTTTTATCAGCTAAGTCTTCTAGCCACACTTCCATATAGGCAGGAACTAAAAATGAACCTTATTATAATTCTAACTAGCTAACATCTACAGACTTCTTACTACGTGTTAGACATGTGAAGCATTATTTGTGACAGCACATAGATCATCACAGGGAGAGAAGATAGCAAGGTGCCACTGCTTTGAGATAGGCTGGCCCTTTATACTAGGATAAGAACCGAGAAGATAAAAAACTAGAATCATCATAAGAGAAGCTATCAATTTATTATGTATCAGAGATGGGCTGGAGCCATTAAAAATCTCATCTGGAACTCAAAAACTCAAGCACAACTGTTCCACTTTCTGATAACCATCTCTTAATTTTATTCTCACTGTATCAGTTGTTCTATCTGATTGAAAGTCCTAGTCCCCTGAATCTTGCATTTTTCTCGCAGTAGACATTTTCTCTTTTCCTACACAAATGGTATGCCATGAATGCCTGCTGTCATGGAGACTGTAGTGAAGGAAGGAATGCAAACTAGACAGAAGTGCAATATGAACATGCAGAATGTATCTATTTCTTTAAGGAGAGAAATGGGCTTTCAAGAGTGTACCATCAGGAAAGGCAAATATGCCAGGCAAAATAAAAATTCTCAGGATGATGGGACCAGCTTATTTAAGTCACTGGTCTCCCACATGGCCAACCATGGTTCAAGTTCTGGATCCAGTGGCTTAAAATTCATGCCGATCCTCTGCATGTGTGCAGCCAAAATCCACAGAGGAGAATGGCGGAGCGGGGATAACAACATGACCATCCCCAGGTGATTTCTCACTTTCTATTTCTCTGTCTCTCCAGTGAATGCATTCACCCTATAGGAAAAAAAAATCTCTCTCAAAAAAACAAAAAAGTTCCCTGGATGGGTTAATAAAAAGAAAAAACATGAGTGTCCTTCAAGGAATTAAAAAAGGAAAGAAAGGAAGGAAAAGAAAGCCAGGCTTGGACTGCTCTAACTCCTCTAGGCATTGGCTGCCTCCTCCAAGGAGAAACCTCTGAGTCCTTAAACTATTCAGCTTGATGTGTCTATGAGAGTGTTTATGTTTGCATGTCTAAGGCTTTAGTCATAAGCCAGTGTGACCATGTGAGTTTATCCTAACAATGTGATTTATGGTGAATAAAGTTTTTGCTCTGGGAGGCAGAGGTCTCAGTAACTAAAGTTCGTCATACGGGGGTGCTGGCAAACACGCATGATGCCACAAAATGAACGAACAAACAAACAAGAATGAGCTTCCTTAGTGACTCTTTTTTGAGGAAGTTCTTTTTATTTTATTTTATTTTTTTTGTCATGTGCTCTAGGTGGAGAGAAAGAGAGACAGAGACAGAGATGTGAAAGGGAAAATGGGAATTCACCACCCCCGCCACCCTGGGAGATGGCCACATTGCAATCCCTTTTCCTCCATTCTCCTCTCAGGATCTTGGGCACACATGCATGCACCCGGTATGATTTTTCAAGCCACAAGGTCCAGGATTCAAATTGTGTTCAGCCATGGGGAGTCCAGCAACGTAACTACTAAGCCATCTGCTGGACCCAGTTTGTAACTCTTTACATGTGTTGTCACATGTCATTGCTGGAAGATTTCAGCACATCCTCATGTGATGCAAGGACTTAAACTCATGCTGGGTGCATGTGTGTGCATGCCCAAGATCCAGAAAGGAGAGTGGAGGAGAAGGGATTGTGGTGTGGCCTTCCCCCAGGGATTGATTTCTTGCTTTCTGTCTCTCTGTCTCTGTCTTTCTGACGAGCACACACGCAATCTAGCAAAAACCTCTGGGGAAAAAAAAAAAAAGTTAAGTAAAAAATCATTTAGAAAGGCTTTGCAATAACTTGGGTATAAGACAATAGTGGCCAATATTAGGAAGAAAAATACAGTTATGATCATGAGAAACAAAGCAGATGATTCATAATATGTTTATTAGAAAGAATGTAAAAGATTTGGAGATTAATTTGAAGTGGGATTTGAAGAAAGAGAAATCAAGGAGAACTCTGTTTCTGGTTTGAGTAACTACATGATAGTGCCATCTAATGATTTAAAAAAAAAATCAAGGAAATTTGATGATAAAGATGATTAATTTTAGACTTGCTGAGTTCGAGGAGAACAGTGGTATAATCAAGGGAATGCATCTATACTTGGATGTATTAGAGCAATCTGGCTGAGATTTTTTTTTTTTGGAATCTATCAGCATTCATATGCAAGTCATTGAAGAGAATGAGCTAACTCAGGGAGAATAAAGAGCATGAAGAGAAGGCCG